TTTTTTTTATTTTATCTGTTGATTAGGGCCGGAGGAAAGCATTGTTGGGTTGGTTACCTCCCTCCGTTTTCCCTCCCACCCACCCCTTGCAAGCATCCCGTTTCGGTACAGTGCCACATCAGCAGTGCCAGATCAGCGGTGCCACGTCAGCAGTGCCATGTCACAGTGCCAAGTCACAATGCCACGTCACAGTGCCATGTCACAGTGCCAAGTCACAATGCCACGTCACAGTGCCAAGTCACAGTGCCACGTCAGCAGTGCCACGTCACAGTGCCACGTCAGCAGTGCCACGTCCGCAGTGCCAGATCAGCAGTGCCACTTCCGCAGTGCCAGGTCACATTGCCACGTCAGACATACAGTGCCACGTAAGCAGTGCCACGTCAGACACAGTGCCACGTCAGCAGTGACGTTCAACACAGTGCCACGCCGGACACAGTGCCACGTCAGCAGGGACGTTCAACACATTGCCACGTCAGCAGTGCCACATCAGCAGTGCCACGTAAGCAGCATTGCCACGTCAACAACATGACGGGCCTGCCAGGCCAACTGGCCAATGAGACCATTGCCGCCTACAAGCAGCGTTGCCTCGCTTAGATAGAGGCTGAGGAACAACGCCTTCTGGCAGTTGAGGCTGCCCGCATACGAGCTGAAGAGGCAGCAGCAGCAGAGAAACTGCGGCTACAGGCCGATGCAGAAGCAGATGCCCAGGCTCGCCGAAAGGAMGCCCAGGATCTGCTGCAGCGGCATGAAGCCAACAGCATCGACAAACTCAAGTACTGGCATTTTCAACYGAACGGCGACGACGCAACACCGGAAGAAAAGCACAAGGAGTTCCTCTCCAAACTCGTGATGCGGTTGTTGTATGCTTGCAACTACCAAAGGTCAGAGTTGGAGAGACAGCATCAGGAATTGGCGACGCTCCGCCGCACAGTGCAGAGCCACGAGGATGCAACTCGGGCACTCAATGCCCGATTGTTGGACCTGGAACAGGCAGTACCAAGCCGCCAACTGGAGGACCGCGTTGACCACGTAGTGGCAATGCTCGGCGACATCAGCACCTTCGCTGCGCCGACCACCACCATCAGCAGTCAGCTGCATACATTGAAGACCGAGGTCCAGAAGCTGCAGTCGACGAACGCAGACGACAATCCGAAGATGTACAAGATGCCAACTTTCAACCTGGAGAGGTTCGACGACTACACGCAGCAGGATCCCGTCCTCTGGTGGGAAGCATTCACAACGCAACTCAGGATTCTGCGAGTAGCCAAGCATGCGTACATCGGCGCCCTGTTCCTGAACTCTAAGGGCGGATGCCAGACCTGGTTGAGCCACCTGGCAACCTCCCACGGCGTCAACGTACCAGACTTAAAGGACGTAATCACATGGGAGGAACTAACACGGCTGTGGAAGAAGCGGTTCATCGTCGACGACGCGCCGCACTCGCCATCAACCGTTTGTTCACCATGTCACAGGGCAACACARCAACACGGGACTGGCTCACGGAGTGGCAGAAGATTGCGGCTGTGCCCAATTTGAACCTACCATTCGAGCATCTACGCCGTGAGTTCTACAACAGGTCCTGTGCGGCATTGAGCCAGGCTCTTGGTGATCGCGAGCAGTACTCAACCTTCGCGGAGATCATTGACAAAGCGAGGGMGATCATCAAGACCAACAGGTCAGCTGCACACGAGAAATCAACATCATGGCAGCCGACCTATGTGGAGAAGGTACGAACTGGTCCGCGACAGCAGC